ATACCATTGTCCTTTCCGAGAAACTACCGAGAATACGTATCGATGAATTTCCGATGAAACTTTTATATCGGAACTTTCCGACTAGTTTCCAACAAATTATGTAGGTTCTCGGTAGATTATCAGAATTTCATCACAAATTTTCCGTTAACAAGGATTCTCGGAAACTTTTGTCGGAGGATAAGCACTTTTCTTGTAGTGCATACTTTAACTAATGTTTGATACACGACAAGACAAAGTATAATGTCTAAAATCTAAAAATATCTAGAAGACTAGAGCAAGTATCAAAGTGTGGTTACGAGTGAAAGAGAATCTTATAAAGCTATAAATTTAATTGAGCAAGAAATTTCGCGGCGCCATGGAATGTGAGACCAAAGTGCCTAAACACTTTCCAATTATACAATACCATCACATGCAATCAGTATCCATCTCATCTTCTTCTTTTTTCTCCTTCCCTGGATTTTAGAAAAGTAACTAAAGAATAACTTTAAAGAAACAAAAAACAATAGAAAAGTGCTTGTTAAAGCTAAGACTTTAATTAAGTGAAGTACAATGAATTTACGTCGCCGCTGGATAACTTAATCTGTCTGTAATTTCTTTTTGGTAAGCAGTAACACTTTTCTTTCGATGATTTGGTTGTCACGTTGCTGTCGTAGTTAAAGTTAATCACATTCACGAGTAGTGGTTATTCAATCAAGTCTTTGAATAGAAACAGAAATCTACTTATTTGCTGTTTTGTGCAAATAAACCTAGGAATGTTAATTATCTACCTAATTAACTCTCAACATAGTAATTTCAGCCGCGCTAATAATTAATCTTCGTCTTTACTTACACATCATGGTGTTGTTGCACATCTATTATGACGTAGCCAACATGAACCAAGTTAAGCAAACATTTTTCGTCGTTTCAAATTTAATGGTAGGTCTCATACTTTATAATATGAAAATAAAACCTATCCGACTCATCGCCAAAGTAACCCGTTAGGTCACTTTTATACATAAAATTAGTATCTCGAGAATCTTTAACAAAGTAAAAGACATTTTAATTGCATACGTTTGATAGATGTAGGCACGATGCAATTTGATGAAAAGGTACATAAAGCCATAAAGGTTAAGCAGAAAAGGTAAATCATCCACTGCATCAAATGGTGTATGTCGACGTGTCAAATTCTGAGAAGATTGCTCCGCCCTTAAGTAAACCATATAGCCATTAATTAAATTTAAACAAAACGACAAAACTCGTAAAGCCATGACTCGTTACGTTAGCTTTTGAGTACACTCCTTCCTATATAAACCCCTGAAGGCTCTAACATCCAATGTTCCTTTCCATGCTAGTTAAGCAAGTACATCCTCTTATATATTATTATTCACTTTAGAAGAAACACCATTTAACATTTATTGACTAAAGCTTATACAATCTTACAAAGAGAGAAATGAAGAAAGCTACGGCATTGATGAAACATGTCGTTGCCGTGTTGAGCTCAGCTGCAAAGGCAAAGTCTATAGCCATAAAGAACAAAACAAGTGCCTTCAAGACAAGACTACTCATGTTGTCCCTCGTGAAACCCGAGAAACTCGGGTTCCGTTCAATTTCCAACAAGATTCACAACCTCCTAGGCCATGCAGATCAAGACCACGACCATGAACAAGACAATAGCAAGGCTATAATCCTCTACAACAACGGGGAAGTACTGGCTCATTGTGAGAGTTATGACGTACAAGAAGAGGAGGAGTGTGACAAGTATCCTGATCTGAGGCACACGTTGTTCGAAGGGGAGGAGGATTTTGAGGAATTGGAAGAAGGTCAAGGAAGTTCTGTGATAGATATGGTGAGGAACTCGAAGGAAGAAGAAGGAGAGAGTTTCAAGTTAGAAGATGAGATCGACCATGTTGCGGATCTCTTCATATCGAAGTTTCATAAGCAGATGAAGCTTCAGAAACTCTTGTCCTTCAAGAGGTATCAAGAAATGCTAGCCCGTGGCACATAAACTCATATATATACATGTTGGCATAGATATGAAGAATAGATTCATATTACGATCTTTGCCAACGTTCATATCTTGTGTTGTGACTATTGTCATTCATAACAACTTCCAGCTTCTCATTTTTAAGATCAAATAGTATGATGTATTAAATGTAATTTCAGTTATTTAGTTGGGCCAAGGAAGGATCTGTTTTGCAATGTGTGTTTTCTTCCTCCTCGAGGAGGTCGTATTATATGCTTGGAGTATTTAATATGCTATAATATTGGGCATTCTTCTTCTTCTTTTTTGGCTTATAAATTTCAGTTAGTCAGGTTCTTAATATTACATGGACAAGTATTAATTAATTACTAAAGTTCTTATTAATCTATAACTAAGGTAACTGATAAAAGGTGAATAGTTGTAACTTTTGTGGTTGCATCACTAAAATTTTATATATGTGTTTTAAAACATGTGCCAAATCACAAGAAGTTGGAGTTGGTGGAATGGAGTTATAAACCAACATAAGAGGTCCGTAACAATACAGTACAGTATTCTTTAGAAGTAAATGTTCGAAGTTGGTTGTAATTGTACTATGAAGTGATTGGAAATTATATCAATATATCAATGTAATAGTTAGAAACGGTATACATACAAGGTTAATCAAAGAAAAAAATATACAAGATGCATATGCATAAATAGATAAAGAGTAAATAAAAGACCTACAGCTTATTTTCTTTTGAGGAAATAATCAAGACCTATATATCATGCTGATATTTCTGTAAACTGCGTCGGAAAAGGAGTAATAAGTATCAAAATTCAAAATCAAAACCTTGTGTACTCGTTAAAGATGTGATAGTTACGAGTAGAAAACTATGTTGCAGTAACTCCATAATTACATGTTTACTGTACCAAATCTGCAATACTTCTACTATTTTATACTTATTCGGAATTAAACTAAGTTCCGTAAATTAAACAAAAAGTAGGAAAAAAAAGAAACGAAGGAACACAGCTCAAATAATTTTTTCACAAAAGAAAATAATTAAAAATTAATATCTATATGCAGTTTCTTATTTTATTTCTCTACGCAATTTCCTCCCAAATTGATATAAAATTGGGATTAGAAATTCTCTTTGTGGAAGTCAAACTTGGTGCTCGTCTTTCGTGAAAAATCCAAAGCTAGATTCTTTAAGTCCTTTGTCAGCCCCGGTGCCCCACAATAGAAGACTCCTGCAATCATATTCATATTAGTAATTACTTAAATTCATTAGTTTATCACATAATAACAAAAAAAATTGGTCAAGATTAGTTACTTACCGATTCTTTTCTCGGGATGCTGAAGAGCGATCCTCTTATACACTTGTCTCCAGTTAGGTTTAGCAAAATGGGACTTGACACGTGTCCCCGACACAACATCAACACCGTTCTTAGCGTGTTGCAAAGACTGAAGCATAGCAATAAGAGCCACCCTAGCATCACCTTCCTCGTACACACTAGTACAATAATTGTGTAACTCGATTATTCCTTCCTCGTCCAGCTCAGAAACCTCATCCATTATTCCCTTAAACCACTCAAAAGATCCTTGCTCTCTAGTCACCCAATAGAAATAAGCTTTCCTCGTCCTAAACCCTTTACTATTCCCATTACTATTATTATTCTCTATGTCACCGTCACGGTCACGAGACTTCATGTTGTTGATAATGTCCTTGAGGATACTGATCATAGGCGTGGCTCCAATGCCAAGACCTACGAGGAGTACCACGTCGTACTTCTTGTAGTCTTGTGCGGGAGCACCGTATGGACCGTCGATAAGGATCTTTGGGAAGGCGATGGAGTCTCCTCCGTCCGCTCTGAGGAGACCGCTTTTACCGGCTGTAGGAGGTTTACATACTTCAGAGAACACGGTCCTGAGCTTACGTGTCCAGTCACCAAGAGTGCGGATGTGTACGCTCACGTAGTCGTCTCCTGGTGCGGATGTGATGGAGAAAGGATGCCACTCAAAGGGAGATACGGCTCTACAGTTCACGAACATGTACTGTCCACTTTTGTATTTGAATCCTTGTGGCTTCGTCACCTGTATTGTCAACACGTTCCCGGGGTAAACCGCCACCTGTTGTTACATATATACAAATTATTAAAAAGAAAAAAAAATTCAGAAGATTTTATCGTACTTTAATCGAATAAAATTAATAATATAAATTAATAATTGTTGAACATATGTATGCTGAATATCAAACAATTTAATATCGAAAGTTTAGACAAATAATATATAGTATATAATAATTTCGATTTAATTGAGTGTCTAAACAATGTATTTGTTTTTATATATCTATTAACTTAGATATGTATATCTGACCTTGACAATCTTAACCGGTTTGATGCTTGATCTGAAAGCACGGATCAGCCTCTCTGAACCATAGAGAAGGATTGGTACAACCAGATACATCCATGTCTGCAAGAATGACACAGATAAGTGTGAACTAATAATATCAGAAAAGAGAACAGATTAATCAGGTTTAAAGAGCATACCGTTTTCTTATGAAAACTCCTTGTGAGGTATAGCTCATAACCATGGTAAATGAGAAGAGCATAAACAATAATAAATAAATGGTGTGAGTACCAAAAGGCATTGAAACCGGTAAGTCTCTTGAGGAAGTTAGGTAAGTTAAGCTTGTTACGACGGAACCAAGGCGTAGCGAGTGTGAAAGCTATGATCATTAGCACAACCATCACAATACCACTCCACCCTTCTGGTTCTTTCAAAAAATGCAAGTAACTATCCGGTTGCTCCCCAAAGTACTGTACCATGGGCTCATAGGTCTCCTCGTCCGCGGCAAGTAAGCGTGGGAAATCACACGCTAAATGCGACACTGCATGGAGCAAAACCCCGACCACAATCCCACTTGCAATGACCTTATGGAAGTTGAGATTATCATCAAACGGAACAACAACACCTAGCTTGGTCTTGTTCCTAAGCCAAGTGATGGTGTTGCGACAAACAGGGAGTAATATAAGAGCCATGTTGAATTTGAGTGTCTCTGCGCCACCTTTAGCGATACAAACGCAATAACGCATCACGCCAAAGGCGTCCTCGTTGTTCCGGTACTCGATAAATTTGTAGGTGAATAGGCCGGCGCAGATGGCAAGCCATAGCATTATGATCCATATTCTCTGCCAGTTGTCAAGTATGAAATATTTGATTTTCTCCGACCATCTCACTAGAGGGTTGCGCTCTGTAGTCGGTTTCAGCTTCTCGCTTAGCATTTTGCTTAGAATCCTACTGTCTCCAATATGTACCGACTGGTTCGGTGCTTGTAACAACAGCATTTCCAAGTCTTCGATCTGTTAGACCAGTTTCCTTTTCATATCATTTAACTAGCTATAATATTACAATACCACAATAACGTTACAAAATCTTTCTTTTAAAATTTCATAGCGGATTTTCAATATTTAAATAATACTCGGATATTTAGATGCCCTCTAATATCTTGCTTCTAGTCTACTATAATTTTTGAATTATTATATTTAGGGTAAATCTTTTATAGCACAAAAAGTTATAACAAAAGATAGAAACAAAAATATTAAAATAGCATTAGCTAAATAATAAAATGATAAGTTATTTGAAGTCTAAACTTTTGCTTTAATCTCACCCCCTAAATATTAAATTCTAAATTTTAGTCCCTAAACCAAATCAAAATATAAAATAATAATAATAATAATAATTTTAGTTAATCCTATTGTGGAGTAAAAAAAAATCTAATGTGCTATTTTTGGAACAAAAAGTGTTTTAGTGCGATGTGAAACCATTTATTTTGTATCTATTTTTCATATCTTACAATTTTTTTTGTGGAATATATTGGGTAGACGCCTCCTCCTACACCTAGTTAGCCAGTCTATTATCAACGCATGTTGACCTTTTTTATTGCTTGATTTGGTAAACTTATTTTAAACGTGGTGAATTTACGATACGTACTATTAATGACTGAGTGGTGAGGTGGACCATACGTACCATAATGTAACCAGCACTATCTGGGTCCAACTCTTCCATTATCAGCGCTGCATACTCTTTGGCCTGCTTCTGAATATTGGAGAGCTTGTTTGCTGAAGCACTCAGACTAATAATCTGCAATTAATTACCAAAAAGTGTTAAACTGAAATTAATAACCTAAACAATAGTAATAAAGACTACTCCTTCTAATCTATTGCCATTATTATTGTCGTGTTCATATGCAGTTAATGGAATTTATGATGTTAAGAGATAAAGTCAGTGGGGTTTGCGCGTAGACAAATTTGTCAAGATAATCAACTAAAGCATATCTATGTTTTTTGGTCACTAGAAACAATATATCTATATTTAAAATAAAATATGAAAATATGATAGAAGATGATAAATATTGAATGGTGTGTGGTTTCTCACCTCAGCGACCTCTTCTTCTGTTACTCGCCCATCTTCATCTTTATCCACCCTGACCACACAATGACATCATTTGTTCAGTTACAAATGCACTAAGCTCAAAAATGATTAAAATATCCTCAACACTAAACCTCAAAAATGATTAATATATAGTTAAACTACATAGTATTATACTGATCCTCAAATCCTGATGACCGTTTAATTTCAAAACACCAATAATTAAACAACCATAGTGACTAGTGGTGTGATATATCAACCGTAGATATTAAATGGGTTAGGTGAAGATAAGAAAAAAGCTTACATGTCAAAGAAGACTTGAAGTTTTGCATCAAAGCTTTCATCTGATATCTGTTCCCAGAAGAGCCTGAGCTGATCCTTGGTGATAGCATCACCGGAGATATTATTCCGGCGAGCTAGTGCTCTAAAGAGCTGGTCAGCAAAGTCTTTTGACTCCTTGTTCATTCCTAAAAAAAAATCCAAAAATTAACATAAATGGAAACATATAAACATAAGTGCTTGAGTTAGAGTTACTACTTACCTAAGCATTCCCAAAACTTGGACGATAGTAAAAGACCGTTGGACTCTAAAGAGAGTTTATCGAACCGTTGTTCCACGGCTGGCCACGCGGCCGTCTTGGTGGCTATGAACTTAAGACCTTTGAGAGCGTGGATAGCTGCGGAGCTACTCCGGTCAAACCGCCTCACGGCGGGGGCAGGGCGTCTAGAGAACACGCTGCGAAGCTCGCGTGATGCGTTCTTGATGCGAGAGGAGGTGCTACGGAAGAAAGAAAGTGATGTGGACTTGTTGAGACTGCTCTCGAGAGTCTTCTTGGTCAAGAGAGTGAGCTCTGGATCCTCAAGATCCTGAGGTCCTCCTCCTCCGGGACTAGCTTGCTGGACGCTGTGGACAGCCACCGAGTCATCCCTGATGTCTAGCGTTATCTCCACGTACTCTTCCTCTTCACCACCACGGTTAGTGACACCGCTAATACTGTTGCTTCTCCTAGGGAGATCCGCAGCAAATCTTGCGTTTTTCTTGGACGCGCGTTTTGGTCGGCCAAGTGGGCCACTGAAGGCGGTCCGGTCACTGGGGATGGCTTCGTTGTCGGACTTGGTGTCTGAGTTAGTTCTTCGTAGAATCCCAAGTTCATGGTCGTTACTTGAAGTGCCTCTTCTCATGTTGCCAAGAAAAGCCACAGAGATTTCTTCAAGAGTAACTTAACTATACTTGTGAGGTTACTATACTATATTTGAGAGAGAAAATATCTGCTCTCCAAAAAGGTGTTTGATTCTTTTGTCTATGGAGAAGAAAATGATTTTTTGATTAAATTTTATAGAGAGTAAATGAGGGAGAGATGAAATAAATGTACATGCAAATTGCATTTCATAATTTGCTATATACCGGAAGGTAGGGCGAAACTATGGATAGATGGACGTTCCCCTTTAGTGACCATTTATTTTGACTTTTCTTAAAATTCATTTATAACTCTTCACTGATTATACTATTCACACCTAGTAATTTTTATACATCATCACCGAGTCATTTATGCCTTTTTCGGTAAGTTTATTAATGTGTCTATATATAATAACCACATGTGAATCTGCACATAGGAAAAGAGAGACTTAAGTTTCTTAGAAGAACTGGTGGTTTGCTTAGATTTGTTTAACTTATTACCAATGTTCGGGAACGTGCTATTCTCTAGCCGGGCGGCTCAGTTGGATCTAGCTGCTAAAGAAAAATTTGAGAGTTAATTGAAGATTATACGTGGCGAAATTTTTATACTATTTGATATGTTATGAAATATGTTAATCTTTAATTATGTATAACATTAATACATTTTTATATTTGGAATCTTATAAAACACACAAATAGAATATATAAAGTTAATATGATATAATTTTTATCAAAGTTATAATTATAAATTATATTTATTAAATTTTAAATCAAATAAATAGATATATTAAAAATAGTTAAAAAAAACACAAATTAGGCGGCCACCCAGATAGCTAGGTAGTCATCTAAACAATATAGACAAATTAAAATTGGACGACCGATTTTCTATAGTGATTTGGCATATATCGGGCGGAAGAGAATCGTATAACGCCTATGCAACCAATTTTTAGAACATAACTTATTACTAGAATTATGGAGCTAATAATAAATATGGTTCTTTCGACATTTGATTTGTAATCTGTTTTCATTACATATCACACCTAGAGTTATAGCCGGACATTATCCATGTGAAATGTCTCTACCTTGATTTTTTTTTCTCTATTAAAAGAGTCAATTAGCCATATATTATAGATGTTAGAACTAATTTTCGTCTATTCGGTTATCTATTTGGTTGTCTGCAATCATGGTGCGTAATGCAAGGTACTAACAAATCATATGCACACGGTACTTCATGAGACATTTTTTTTTGTCACTGTTTTTTTTTTTTTTTTTTGTCACTGACTTCATGAGACATAATAAAGTATATATCCTGAGAATAAGGTACTTAAGACATCTTTACGTCTCTACATATCCAAACGCATGAACCAGAGTATCATGTCATAGCTACACTACATCTAGTACACACATGAAAAGTCTCGGCACAAATATCCTTCCGACCGTATAACCTTCAATAATTTTAGGTCCTAAGATTAATGTTTTATTAGACTGTTTTTAGATCCTGCTCTGGACACCCAGTATAGCTAATTTGTGACAACCCATCCCATAGAAGCTCACAGCGCTGCAGCGCATTGATCCCAACCCCTCCATTATGAGTTCTCACTAATTTCATAATTAGATTGTTGGTGAGACTCGGATCCAGGTCCTTACCCTTTAACAACACTTCCACAGGACAAACAGTCACCAATTGACCTGCAGATCAATTGGTGACAGCTTGTCATGTGGGAGAGTTTTTAAAGGGTGAGGATCTGGATTCGAGTCTCACCAACAATCTAATTATGGAGTTAGTGAAAACTCATAATGGAGGGGTTGGGTCGATGCGCTGTAGCGCTGTGAGCTTCCACGGGATGGATTGTCACAGAAAAGTCAGACTCTTTTTAAACACTCATTACAAGATATGTTTAATGTTTACTTTTGTCATCACATAAGATTTTGCTTTTTGTTTGTCTAAGATTGATAGTATTTTAAATGTGAGTATGATGTAAACATACAAAATACATAGATCTCGAAATAAAGAGATATAAAAGAGTATAGATCCAAGACTTTTCTTTAAAAAATGGAAGCCTAGTGAATACCCAAAGAGTATTGCAACCGGCATTGACAGGTAAGATGTCTATTCATGAACCATATACAGCTTAGAGGCCGTCAGGACTCACACATTATAGCGACAAAACATAACTTAATTTAGGGCATATAGTTCAAGTAGCTGGGTGTGATTTTGTTTTGTCCCTATTTTAAATAGAATCGATGACAAGCAAAGGTGGCTAAGAAGATATATGATTATTGTGAGTATATGAGTGGACGAATCTTGACTTGTCTCCATTGCGGTGCTCTTTGTATGTATATCAAAGCTGTGCGTACTAGCTCACATGCAATTAAACTGATCTTAAATTCCAAAATCCCAACCATATTATAAACCTTACCTTAATATATACGTGGTACTATCCCAAACAGTTGAAACGATGTTTATCATCAACTCACAGAAGATACCAAATTAACCCCTTTGGCGATCAAATTATAACCGTGTAGTAACAAATGATTCATGATATTTTGATGAATTTGACTTATGAATTTTTTTTTTTTTTTAAATCATATGATAAAATTGTAACAAAGATATTTTAGCTAAAACGATTACGATGGTAGAGCTTACGTTCCAGATTCTACAACCAGACGACATATAGTTTGGTCAGCTGATTTTCAATCTAAGCTTTTTATGTTTTTTTGTCGTATTTTAAACTTTCTTATATGTTTGATTGATAACTTTTAGAGAACAAAAGTCTTTCCTTTCACGGTCAGAAAAAATTACCAGTCATACTTACATCTTGGTTACAGTTTGGAGATTATACGTAACTTGATCTACGCACAAAATCCTCTAATAATATATTTATAAATTATAGAAATGTGAACGTCAATCTTAACTCTACACGGAGCTAAACCTTCAATTATATCAGCAAACCTTCTCCACATGTGCGGTTGAATATTTGTTTGAAACGTTTCTGTTGTTATCTACCACGCGTATGTTATCTTATTTCAACTAGACTCTCTACTTTTAATTATAGGCATGAGAGTAGATTTTTCTTCTACACGTAGACAATGTCATATGTCGTACGTATTTAGAATTGGTCGTGTTTTGTGGACTCTGGAAAGTTAATCGGCATAGGAAATTCTCAGTTTTGGGGTTTTTAAATTTAGTTTTAGTTTCTGAGAATGTTTTTTTTTTCTTTTTTTTTTTGGCATATCCTCTGAGAATGTTTTTTTTTAAATAGTTTTTCTTCTACTGGAAAGGCTAAAGCGTTGGAAGAAAAAGGTCAAAAGTTATTAGAAAACAAAAAGAAATCTTTTTAAAATTGACTGAGAAACTATTGTCAATTCAAAAGTTCCCTCATAACTTTTTTTTTTTTGACAAAAGAGTTCCCTCACAGCTTACATACAATGTTTTAGCTTTTAATCATGATTATTCATCATTGACTTATATGGTTCCAGTTTCTATAGTTGATTTTATATATCATTTTGGTTGGAAACCTGGTGAAATACTTCAGTTCAAAAAAAAAAACCGGTGAAATACTTCATTTTAGAAAGAAACCATCAAAGTTTTAAAAAACGAAAAAGGGGTTGGTGTGAATTTTGATATAATTATCATTAACGACTTAGGTCCCTTATAAAACATTACTTAGTTCCTTTAACTTCTAGAATCTTTTTCGTAAGAAATTTTATTAATTGGTAAACTTCCAATACCAATACAACTAACGTAAACAAATGTTTCTTCTTTTCATCCTCCAATAGTTGTTTTATACTTAACATACGATGTATCTGTATTATACACATGGTTTAGTTGGTAACGGCTTATAGCTAAACATGGTCAAAGATAACACCATTGATCAAATGGATTAACAATACGATAATTAATTAGGAGAAAAATGAGCTCATCCACATTCGTTTTTTTCTAGTATTGTTTCCTCCTTTCTATGATTTCAACAATCATATGGAATGATTTGGTTTATACTTCATACCAAGTTCAAGAGATTACAGCGAAGAAATGAAACAACTCAAAACGAAAGGCGATATGACACCAAAAGAAATAGTTGTCACATGAGTGTTTCCAGGTCAAAGCTTATTCGAAATCATCTTTAGATAAAAACAAACAAGACAAATAGACTTAGGCTTTTGTAGCTCCTCCGGATTTCACAAGGTCTTCAAGAGATTTCAGAATCTGTGACTCGCTCATACCATCCAAGTTTACACACCTCTCCACACCCATATCTGCCACATGTGTGTTACAAATTTAGCGGATACACGCAAAAGACTAGACACATTTAGATAATACAACAGAACTTTTGAAGGTATAAGTTATAACGCCACAAGTGAATTGGCCAAAAGAAAGCATTCATCATGCGTATGTTTCATGCTTTCATCTAAACCCTAATATAGTCATGAAGAGCTGAGACTTAAAGCAGACGCTTATGATCTCAAAAGGTAAACAACTTTCTAAACACGTCATCTGCATGGCGACAGATATATGCAAGAGACCAAACATAATTTCATGTACTTTTACTTATGATGGGAGTGGGAACACAGATTAAAGACGAGCGCGAACGCTTTTAGCTGCTCAAGGCACTAATATGTGATTATCGTAAGGTTCAAAACAATAAGGAACACAAGGAAAAGAAAAAAAAGAAATAACAACAGCAGAAGCATAAACTATAAATGTTGGCATACACATGAAACACACCAAAGAACTACGTAAAAACAAAAGAAGAAGTCACACTCCTTAAATAGCAATGAGGAGCTATCATGTCAAAAGTTAACTGATGGTTTACATTTTTTGGAAACAATATGGTCTCACATCCACAACCAGAAGGGCTTGGCCCAGAAAGCTAGAAGGGAGGAAGGGATAAAGACTCATGAGGATAAGGTGGTATCTAACTGAAGGGTCATCTACAAACAGAATAACCCACTAGGCTAAGTCAACAACCTCTACCAGACAAAAATAGATCAGAAATGTAAGGAGAGGTAAGAGTACCCTCTAGCAATTCTCTCAAAACCCTTGTATTTGCTTGATCGTTGGAAAATATAGCTTTTTTTTCTCTTCAGATTCTGCTTTTACAAAACTGTTCATCATTTACATCCATAGCCAAGGCCTAGGGTTTACAGACAATAACCAATTCATCTAAACTACCAACAGAAGTACACACATCTTAAAAACACTAGCCAATATGCATAGCAGTTACACATATAACATTTTGATCAATATCTAAGGCTCTGACTGGAGATGAATTGCATCCCTCCACAAGGCCTATCAAATATCAGAAAAAAAGAACTCAGCTAATCTCAACTTAACTCGGTGCCATCTATTCTACACACGAGCTTCGCCAGATAACTCAGGCCAGCTCATTAGGTTAAACCGACTTAGGGCAAAGAGAGTAGGAAACTCAGGTATAAAAGAGAGGCAAAGAGCAACAAGAAGAGAGGGATAAACTTAACACACATAGCATTGGCGGCTATAACTAGGGTTTTACTTTATCTTAACTCTTTCTCGCCGACTTGTACTTTTCCGGCCACTCGGCTCTTTTCTCTCTTATCCACACTCATACTATAACCTCACTCTCATCAGAAATAACCCACAATCAAAGTTTTGTTATTCTTCTCCAAACCAACCAAACTCAGATTCAACATCCTCTAAGGTTGAAGAATGCACATACTAAAAAATTAATAATTAACTCTAAACGCTATAAGAAATGAATCCATAAAAAAACAAGAAGAAGGAAGTCACTATATGTCACTACCACCATTGACATCACATTCATCTCAAATCTATTTCCCAATAGTCACAATGATCCCAAACTCTATTTTTACATTGTAACATTCTTAACTCAAAAGACATTATCATCTAATTCAAACTCTAACTAAAAGAGATAGAGAGAATCAAAATCAAAGCTAGATTATTACCATATCTCGCCCACATCTGAGGCTGGACTCCACTACAATCCCGGATCAGGAAAGGGAACTTAGGGTTCAGAGTCTTCAAATCCTTGTAATTCTTCTCCACGAACGTCCTGAATCAAAAAAAAAAAAAAAAAAGTCAATACACAAATTGAAAAAAAAAAAACCCTAACGGAAAATTAAAACCTGGTGGAAGCGCTAGCGGGAGAAGACTGACAGAGAAGGATCCTGAGCTCTTTGAGAGACTTCGATATGTTTCCTCTCCACGCCATTTGCTCTTCTTCTTCTCTCTTCTTCCTCCTACAAGTCGCAGAAACACAGAATCGAAGACGAGACGGGACATATGGTGTGGTGGTTGAAGTGAAAATGGATTTAATTGAAATTATTGGGCTTAGGCCCATTAAACAACGCAGGCCTTTGTTCATTTCGGGTTAAGGATCCGGTAAGAGATCGGTTGAATTATCAATTGTTATACTATTAATAGTTAGAGAAATTTCCTAATATAAACCTTTTTTTTTTTTTTGTCACAAATATATAGCTTAAAAATAAAAATAATTAACATAGAGTTAAATGTTTTATTAAAAATAAGTAAATATATACTTATACTCTTTAGTTTAACTAATCTTAGATTTTTTTTTTGTTTAGAGTTAAAGAGTGTAGTTTTGGGAATATGATTTCAAATTTAAAAAAAAAACTTCTAATTTTTTAAATAAAAAATTCTATTTTGATCAATTTATTTTTTGAGATCTATTTTGTGATAAAAACTTTTAAAAAATTATTTGAGAGAATTGCCCAAATAGTTATGTTCATAACAAATATAAATTTCTTGTTAGCCATGATCATTATCTATGTAAGTTACTAAAGTAAAACTCAAATTATGGAAAATTTCTTTCCTGTTTCTTTTTAAAATAAAAATAGATTTGAATTATTTAATCAAAAAGAAAAATATGTGTTAAGTTAAACTAACGATATAGATTAGGAAATTTATACTACTGAAATTCATACATATCTCTATAATATTATTTGAGAAGTCAGTTTCATATGTGTCGCGTTCACGTTAATATAGTCTATTATATTGATATTTTTAATGAATTAAAAATAATACATCTAAATACAATTGTTAAACGTAGTTTCCTTTTATTTAGTAGTTTTTGTTAATAGATTTTTATTCAGTTTCCTATTTTTTCGCAAATAACATATATAATAAAAAAGGAATCATTAATAAACTTTTTATAATTTATATTATAAAACGAATTTTATTAATTTGATATTTCTGTTTGGACCATCTTTCCTTTTTCTCCATCGGCTGATTTTTTTTTTTTTTTCTATATGGTTTATGTTTTGTACTATTTACTTTTCCTTATGAGTTTGGGATTTGTATTTCCATATTTTTATATCTTGTAATCCCTATATAAAAGAATTTTATGTTATGAATGAAAGAAATAATTTCCCCCTAAAGTTTCACAACAATATATTCGTTCCCTGCATTGACAGAAAATAATCAATATATATATATTCCTTCTCTGCCAAGGTTTCTCAAAGGAATAGATATCTCTCTCGCTTGTACGGTTCTCCTTAAATTCTTCAGGTGATTACCGATCTTCATATCCTTCTCTCTTTTTAATTACGTTTTGGTAGTTTTGTTCTTTAGCCTAAGTATTAATAAGGATGATTCTGTTTCTCTAACTCTAGTTAAAGTTATGTTTCCTGAGTTGAACTAATCTGTTAATGTAACATACTTATCTATATTAACTAACTTCTGTCACTCTGTTGTTTTCGCAGGTCACAATGGGAGACAATAATAATCACAACGACGACAAGAGCATAGAGATATGGAAGATGAAGAATCTGATCAAATCCCTTGAAGCTGCCAAGGGTAACGGAACCAGCATGATCTCACTCATCATGCCTCCACGTGACCAACTCTCTCGTGTCACCAAGATGTTATCCGATGAGTACGGAACCGCGTCCAACATCAAGAGCAGAGTTAACCGCCTCTCCGTCTTGGGAGCCATCACATGTGCAAAGCAGAGGCTGAAGCTATACAACAAGGTCCCACCCAACGGTCTAGTCCTCTACACTGGCACCATCGTCAACGAAGAAGGCAAAGAGAAGAAGGTTACTATTGACTTTGAGCCTTTTAGGCCCATTAACAACACTCTCTACCTCTGTGACAACAAGTTCCACACAAAAGCTCTTGATGAGCTGCTAGAGTCGCATGATAAGTTTGGTTTCATTGTAATGGACGGGAACGGGACTCTCTTTGGAACTCTGAGTGGTCACACCAGTGACGTGCTCCACAAGTTTACTGTGGATCTTCCGAAGAAGCACGGAAGAGGAGGACAATCAGCTCTTAGGTTTGAGCGTCTTTGTATGGAGAAACGTCATAACTACTTGAGGAAAACAGCTGAGCTCGCTAGGGAGTTGTACATCGACACGTCGACAAACCAACCTAATGTCTCTGGTCTGATACTAGCTGGCTCAGCTGATTTCAAGACCAAGCTAAGCCACTCAGATATGTTTGATCCCCGGCTCGCGGCTAAGGTAGTTAACGTGGTGGAGGTTCAGCATGGAGGAGAGAGTGGTTTCAGTGAAGCTATCAAGAAGTCATACGAACTTCTTGCGAGTGTGAAGTTTGCTCAAGAGAAGGGTTTGATAGGAAAGTACTTTAATGAGGTAAACCAGGGGACAGGGAAGTATGTGGTTGGCGTGGAGGACACGTTAAACGCTTTGGAGTCTGGTGCTGTTGAGACACTGATCGTATGGGAGAATCTTGACATCTACAGATATGTTTTGAAGAAGAGTGTGACTGGTGAGAGTGTGATAAAGCATTTGAAAAAGGTGGAGGAAGTGGATAGTGACTTTGACGTGGAGGAGAAGATGTTATTGCTAGAGTGGCTGGCTAACGAGTATATAGGAGATTTGGTTGTGCGTTGGAGTTTGTGAGCAACAAGTCGCAGGAAGGGGATCAGTTTTGTAAAGGGTTTGGAGGATTTGGTGGGATACTTCGTTACCAACTTGATGTGCCTGACTTTGATGATGATAATGACAATGAGTCTGAGTCTGAGTAGCAACCAATAGAATCATCACCTTCTCTGGTTCATGAAGATGGTTCACCACCAAGGTTGAAGCAGCCTGCGCGGGCTAGCGAGGTCACGCAGAAACTAACTCGAAATTAATGAATAACAAAGGTAAAATGATATATTTATTAAAAGTTTCAAAACCTGGTCCTGTCTTTTTTTTTTGTGTGTAACGGCTAGCTTAGTCTCTAAAATGGTATTAATATACAGGTGAAGAATGAAGAAAGAGTTGGAGAATGAGCAAGCCATGATATGGTTTACATGTGTCAGCCTTCGTCGTCGTGTGTCTGGGACATCTATGGAGCTTTTCTTTTGGTTTTTGTTTTGATATTGTAATAACATATTCTCTCTTTGTGAGAGTAAACCATGTGGTTTGGTTTTATTTTTTTTTGTTCTTCGATCTAAATACTACTCTCTTGTGTGTGAGAGAAACTCTTACTGATCTGGTGTTTCTTTTTTCTTTTTTTTTTTTTTGCTGCAATAGATGTTTTGAAGTAACTTGGGTTTATGAATAAGTTTGGTTTAGAGCCGACAAATGTCTGAATCACTTCCTGATATGTCACATATTCTTCCACTACTCAAGCTCAACACATTAAACTATGAAGATATAGGACAAAAAGTAAGTACTATTAACATACAAATCCTATTAACATTTTTTATCAAAAAAATATCCTATTAACATAGCTAGCATATTGCATTTTCATTCAACATCAAATATATATTGGAAACCGGAACTCTGACGTTTTTTCATTCACTCGAGCAGTCAGTGTACATACATTGGACATATGATTGTTCTGACATGAGAATGATTGTCATTTTTTCGCTAAAAGTATTAGAAGTCTGTCTGTTATTGCGGGAACGGGAATGGGAACACCTAATCTATTTATTTGAAACAAGACCAGTTTGGTATAGCTAATGTGGCATTTATGATTGTCCTTGCTAGCTTTTGGTGTGGAAATTCTCCTTATCGTTTTGTCATCTTCTATGATGTAACATGTTAAAAATCACATCAATAAAATAAAGTGTTAAAAAAAAATCATCAATAACCATGAAAGTTAAGTTATATTTGGGGGTTAGAGTTACTAACAAGAAACCTGAAAGTTGCTTAGCCAGGATTCTCTAGTCATTATTGTTGCTGTTGTCACCAGCAGCCAAAATCATAAGGAACAAGGGGTAGTAGAAAAGGTATTGGAGAAATAATTGGTTATGACCATATGAACACGCATAAGGAACAAGGAGCAGCAACGAGACCAGCAGGAATATGACACCGATACCCAAAACGAAGCAACCAAGCAAAGGGACGTGGCTTACCGCTGCATATGTACCAGCCATAAACGCTATCGACATTGATGTAAGCGCAAGTCCGAGAAACGGAAGTGCTATCAAAAACGCTTTGCGTATGAGAGAAACATCACGGAGCTGTCCCCAAATGAGAGCAACTATAACAATGATGGAAGAGTACATTGCCAACGTGTCACATACAAGAAACACTTGGAAAGCTGTTTTCTTGGTCAAAACGGACATTCCCACGTTGGGAGCAGAACCGTTGTAACCACCTGGTAATGTGAATCCTGCAGTAAAAGTCATGGTGGCTACAAGAGTTGCAACCAGCAGAAGAGTATTGACTTGATCTTTGTACCTTTCACCATCTGCTAACTTCATGAATATTCTACGATTTTCCGTAGTTGGAATGGAACTACTTGGTGTACGACCATTTGTCAAAGCGAACAAAGTCACTCTCTGTATATACAAAATACACAGATTAGTATGGAAAATTTACACATGGTATTAAACCGGCGCAACTCGGGTTAAGTAATTTGGTTTACTTGACTTGTTTGGATCAAATACTCAGTTATATCAAACACCATACGAAAAAAAAAAATAATACTTGCAAATTATTTGATTTGAATCGTTACTTGTCAAAATCAAATTATACCTAACTATAAAATACTTGATTATTTGAAAACAAAACATTTGTAACGAATACTTTTACCTTTTAACGAGTAAAAAGTACTTTTTAATGAGTAAGAAATACTTTTTAGTGGATAACAAATATTTTCTAGAACAAACAAGTAAACACATAACGAGATAAGCAGCAAACAAGTATTTACAACAACGATATTTGATATTTTCCACGGATTTTAAAAACAATAAAATTTGTTGATTTGTTATTTCACTTGACAATGCTAAATATTTGAATTTTCAAAAAAATCATGCCTAGACCAGTAACTGGGGTTCTTTTTTATGTTGAATAAAAGGAAAAAGAAAAGAAAAGAAATGGGGTTAATTAATGAAAAAAAAGCTTCACATAACCTTGAAATAGTTTGAAACTACCTTGAATGGAAGAAACATATTACCTGATGGAATATAAAGCTTGAATCAATGTTAACTTCGGCGACATCCAAAGCTGTGAAACCCTTGTTGTTTGTTTTCTTAACGTCAACTCTACTGTCCCAAGTAAGCATACTCACAACTTTAGGGTGGCAATTTTGGGTGGCTAGATGCAACGGTGTATTCCCATCCACATCTTGTTCATTAATCAGCTTTTTCTTGTTTTTATCTTTATAAATTTTTAGGATAAACTTGATGGGTTCAAGTTTTCCATTCCTTGCTGCAACGTGAAGAATATTTCGACCGTGTTTGTCAAGCAACTCAAGTGCCTCTGGACAACGTTTAAGAATTTCCTCAAGAATTTTGACATGCCCATATTTGGCCGCCATATGGATGGGAAACAAGCCATCATCATCGCTGAGATAAACCATGTCTACATTTTTGTCCAAGAGATAGCAGATCCCTTCATAATGTCCTATGGATGCTCCGAAAGAAAGACAAGTCCTTCCTTCGTCTCTCAAGTCAATAAGACTTGCATCTTTGCTGAGTAAAGCAGTAAGGATATCTGTTTCAGAAAAATAATATGAGTAGCATTAATTATTAATCTCAGTCTCTTAACTGGGGTTCTTAACTTTGGCGATTCTTATATTTTCTTAGATTTTAACTAAGAAAAACTAAGAACTATTTCTTAAATAAGAGATATAAGAACCGTCTCTTAGCCGAAAAGTGTAAAACAAAAAATGTCAAATCATGTTAAGAACCTCGGTTAAGAGATCGGGGTTAATGATGTCCTAGGTCTATGTTTAGTGGCAATTAACAACAAACCTTTCCTCTTAGCTTTCAATGCCGCATGTATGATGGATCTTCCTGCAACTTTTGAACGTAAATAAGATGATTGGTGACACATAGCTGTCACAAGATCTGCCTGTCCAGCTTCAATAGCAAGGTACAAGGGAGAAAACCCATCGCTGTTGGCAACGAAAGACAAATCTTTCTCTGCAGAGACCAAATAGGAAGCGACCAACATATGTTTCTCTTTCAAGGCAACATGCAAAGCAGTGTCTTGGTTTTTGTTCTTAGCAAAATATATCTTTTTTGCAACATTGACAGATATCTCTTTTATAAAATCAACTAGATTCAACATAACATCGAGATGGCCTGATCTTGCTGCAACATGGAGAGCAACTTCACCCATCAGGTTTGACTTCATTAGCAAACTTGGGCATTCGTTGATCAGATAACGGACTAGACTGGCATGACCCGATGATGCAGCAAGATGAAGCATTGTATTCCCGTGAACGGTCACTAATCGTGGTGCAAGTCTAACGTAGCTATAGTTATCTCTCAGGTAATTTACGTTACCTGCTCTTACGGCAGACATCGTCTTTGGATCCATCGATATAGTTTCACCATTTTCTTCCAAGATAGTGGACAGATCAAGAGATGGTGTGGATATAGCATTGTTTATTGGTGGTCTTGAAGGTTGTGCTACTCGTCCATTAAAGTCCACATCAGGCCTTCCCATTGATAATATCGAACCTGAAAATATTTCTAGCCATTCTATGAGTAAAATGAAATGATCATCTTATCGGAAGTCATGACTCTTTTAATATGTGATATTTTGAAATGGATCATCTATTACAATTATCACATTATATTATTTAATGATTAATAATCTTTATTAGGTTTACTATAAATTTTTATTGGGCTAACAATAATTTGATGACCCATTAGATTTATAGATAGTATAATAAGCTACATGTTTAAATAGATATAATTTAATGTTGTAATAATATAAGTTAATTATTTATTTATTTATTTATCGATGTTAACTTTTAAAATTATATAGTTTATTTTTTAAAACAAAAATCGTCATTTACCTTAAACTAATAAAAACAATTTTTAATCTATATTACCTTAAACTAATGAAAATAATTTTTAAGTTATACAGTTAATTTAAAAAAAACTAAACATTTAGTTATTTATTCCATAATATGAAGCTAAAATTTTAGTTTTGTTAAACTCTCTAAATTTGAAAAATGTTACACACATGTTTAGAGATGACAAATAAAACAATATTTTACCACTCTTTACATATATTTACGAGTTAAATAATGAAATAATAATCTAAAAATATATATGTAGAAGAAGATACAAATACATTTAAAAATTTGAAACAGTCTATTCGATGAAAAACTAATATATGGTAAAATTATTATATTTTAAAAATTGATATACACATCTCATATATATTATAATATATACCAATTTAGAAGTAAGAATAAAATATTTATATAAAAATAAATAAAACCAAACACCTGCGCGGTTGCGCGGATCAAGATCTAATTTATGTTAAAATGGGAATAATTGATATAATGTAGTGAAAATAAAAAATACCAGCTATTTTCCGTTACCACTGAATTTGCTATAGCACAATAAGGGTTTGAAAGAACGCAAATTTATCACCCGAAAATAGCATATTCCTTTATGAATCAGGTCAGGAATATTTAGACGTGCTCAGATCAGTAAAATAATAATTCTGTTATGTCCTAAGCAAAGAATATTCTTTTTTTTTACAGAACATGTGTAGCATGTGGGAGCTCTTACAATTGTAATTCTTTCTTTGATATTTCTTTGTTTCTCCGTCAGCTTAAGTCTGCGCCCACTCAGTCTGATTTGTGTTAGAAAGTGAAGCTTTGAGAATGAAGAACAAGAGAAAGATGAGAGAAAAGAGTAAAGAAGGAGAAACTTTTTCCTTAGATCTGAAAAGTAACGTTACAATGAGTTATAAAGAAAGAGAATAATCTTATTCTAGTAACCAAACACCCTTGGCTTACTAGAGAAGCTAGAATAAATAACTAAATTATTTATTTATTTAACTCAATACTCCCCCTCAAGCTTTGCCATGCCTTATGGTAAAGCTTGGAACCATGAAAACATCCCTCGTTAAAACCTTTTGCATAGAAAAAACCCAATGGGACAAAACCACACAAAGGAAAAAGAGTAGATGCTTCATGGCTTAAGGAGATCATGATCTATCAAGGTCTATGAGTCCTAATCTCGGATGAATGAACTCACAGACTTTACTACTTGCTCCTTTGGTAAAGATATCAGCCAACTGGTCTTCACTTCTAGTGTAGCAAGGTAGGATAATCTTCTGCTCCNCTTCATGGCTTAAGGAGATCATGATCTATCAAGGTCTATGAGTCCTAATCTCGGATGAATGAACTCACAGACTTTACTACTTGCTCCTTTGGTAAAGATATCAGCCAACTGGTCTTCACTTCTAGTGTAGCAAGGTAGGATAATCTTCTGCTCCACGGCTTGTCTCACTTTGTGGCAATCCACTTCAATATGCTTTGTCTTTTCATGAAATACTGAGTTTGAAGCAATATGAATGGCTGCCTGGTTATCACAATGCATGGTAATTGGCGTTGATGTTTTTATGCCCAGGTCTCTTAGCAAGTTTCTGATCCAAATGAGTTCACTAGTCAGTTTCCTCATTGCTCTATACTCTGCCTCAGCACTTGAACATGATACCACCTTTTGCTTCTTGCTTTTCCATGTAACTAGATTGCCTCCAATGAAGGTGCAATAACCTGTAGTAGACCTCCTATCCACTCTATCACCAGCCCAATCTGCATCACAATATNATAATATCATCCACATAGATCAGTATCACGATAATTCCTTGCTTGCTTGTGAGGGTGAAAAGAGTATGATCAGCTTCTGATTTTACAAACCCTCTTCCATTGAGAGTTGTGCTCAGTTTGTGATACCAGGCTCTTGGTGACTGTTTTAATCCATAGATTGCTTTCTTCAATCTTAGTACATTTCCTGGCTTGACCATATATTCCATACCCGGAGGTGGCTTCATGTAAACCTCATCTTCAAGCTCTCCTTGAAGAAAAGCATTCTTAACATCCATCTGCCTTAAATCCCATTCCAAGTTCACAGCAAGAGAGAGAAGAATCCTTATAGTATGAAGCTTAGCTACTGGTGCAAAGGTATCTAGGTAGTCTTCTCCGTAGACCTGAGTGTACCCTCTTGCAACCAGTCTTGTCTTCTTCTTTTCTGGTTTTCCATTAGCAAGATATTTGATGGTGAAGAGTAGCATGCTGGTCACAGCTTTCTTGCCTTTAGGTAGTTCGGTTTCATACCAAGTACCATTTCGGATCATGGCTCCAACCTCATCTCCAACTGACTCTCTCCACTCTTCATGTTCCATGGCTTCTTCATAAGTCTTTGGGACGTACTCTTGATCCAGATT